TTAAGCCTTAATAAATGTAAACAGGTGAGTTCTATATAAATTCAGCTCCTTTACAGTCGCCATGAATGTTGAAATTAGCTACAGAGACCAAAACTGTTTTTGTACCAGGCTGTTAACATGTTAATTTCTACATGTTAACATGGAGATCTGTGGGGATTGACTCGCTGTTGGAGCCAGTCTCTAGTGGACATTAGAGGAACTGCAGTTTCTGGCTTCATTTCTCAGCCCCAGACGTTACCGCTTAATAAAAAGTCATTGCTTCAGCAAAAGTAGCAGGTCTAACGAGTGATGGAGGGGCACAAGTATAGATATGCAAACGTGCACTTAAGGGCGTTTTTACATCCGTTTATGTGAACTGTCAGTGTGTAGATGAGGCTGGTGTTGCTCCACGAAGATCATGATTTATAAAACAGAATCCAACGTACAGTTGTATAAATCTGACAAAAAGAGTGCATCTGCACATTTCTACCTTTGTGCGTTCACACAGTTTCAGTTGTGAGTTTTATTTAACATAAAAGCTGCTGATTGATCAGAAGCTGCAGACGGTCAGTGTTAATCGCTGCCTTGCTCAAAGGACAATCAAACCTGTAACTCTTAAGTTTCAGGACAAACAGCAGCTGCAGCCAGATGTTCTGCTCATGCGTGCGTGTGTGTGTGAGAGCATATGAGATATATATATATATGTAGAAACACACAGACACACACACACCTGCTCAGCTCAGTACTGCAGGCTGTTTCTCCCAGAGAGGAGATCACTGCCTGCAGCATCGAACTCACAACCTGAGAGACAGACAGACAGACAGACAAGTGCTGTTTTGGCTGCAGGGCAGTTTTTTGTCTTTATTTTGTTTCACCACTGCAGGATCCACACACACACTTTTATATATACACACATACTGTATATAAACACACACACACACACACACACACACCTGCTCTGCTCTGTCTCCGTCTCTGTCAGTCCTTCTCTCTCTGTCCTGATGCTTCTCTCTGTCTCTCTCCGGCTTTTTTCCACTTCTCATTCATTCTCCACTCGGATTCAACACAGTTGTGTCGAATTATCGCTGGCAGCCGCTGCTCACGTGGGCCGAGTGTGTGAGAGTGTGTGTGTGTGAGAGGGTGTGTGTTGGGTTTAAGAGTGTGTGTGCATGCATACTTGATAAGGACAGACTTTTATAAGCATGCACAATGCAGCCTCACACACTCTTATCTCCCACAGAGGGAGGTAATGAGGATCTCACACACACACACACACACACACACACACACACACTCTCAGTTATCTCCCTCTCCGTGTCTCGGCTGACAAACAGCCAGCGAGGCGTCGTGCGTTTTCTCCTCTCGCTGGTTTTTAATCATCTCTGAACAATGTGGCCCAGTGAACGCGCCTCCTCCTCCTCTTCCACTTCCTCCTGTACTGCCACCTCCTGCAGGAGGATGAGGAGCAGCAGCAGCAGTAGGAGGAGGCTTGACCCTCTTATCTGTCTGAACCCTAAGCTGGCCTCCTCTCCTCCTCTATCGCCTACTGCAGGAGGACGAGGAGCAGCAGGAGGAGGCCTGTCCTTTTTATCTGTCCAAACCTCAAGCTGGCCTCCCTTTTCCTCCTCTGCCACCTCCTGCAGGAGGACAAGAGCAGCAGCAGCAGGATTCTGTCTGAACTCGCAGCTAGCCTCCTCTTACTCCTCTTCCATCTTGCTCCCTGTCTCACACCTACTGCAGGAGGATGAGGAGCAGCAGCAGGATGAGGAGGCCTGTCCTCTTTATCTCTCTGAACCCTAAGCTGGCCTCCTCTCTTGCTTTTCCACCTCCTGCTGGAGGACAAGGAGCAACAGCAGCAGGATTCTGTCTGAGCTCACAGCTAGCCTCCTCTTGCTCCTTTTCCATCCTGCTCCCTGTCTCACACCTACTGCAGGAGGACGAGGAGCAGCAGCAGGAGAAAGCCTGGCCTTCTTATCTGTCTGAACCATAAGCTGGGCTCCTCTCCTCCTTTTCCATCTCCTGCAGGAGGAGGAGCAGCAGCAATAGGAGAAGGACGCTTGGCCTTCTTATCTCTGTGAACCCTAAGCTGGCCTCCTCTTCTCCTCTGTCACCTCCTGCAGAAGGACGAGGAGCAGCTCCTCACCCCCCCCCTTTTTCTTTTGCTTTTCTTTCATCATGGTCTTCCTCACCCTCCTACTCCTCTTTATAGTCCTCCCACTCTTCTTCTCCTTCCTGCTGCTCCTTTTCTCTCACTCTTTTTCCTCCTCTTGGTCCTCCTGTGAATTCCTTTCTTTACCCTTTTCCTGTTGTTGTCTCTTAGTTTTGCTCTTCTTCCTCCTACTTTAAGTCTTACTGCTCCTTCCACGTCTCCTCTTCTTGGCTCACTGTCTTCCTCTCCCTTCTGTTTTCTCACTTACCTTCTTATGCTCCTGTTTCTCCTCCTCTGCTCCTCCATCCCTAGCTCCTTTTCATTCATCTTATTCCTCTAATTCCAGTGTTGTCCTCCACCTTTGGTCATTTTTATCCTCCATCCTGTTCCTCCACCTTCTGCTCCTCTTTTTTCAGTCTCTTCCTCTCTGCTCTTCTTACTCTGCTCCTCTTTCTCCTGCTCCTGCTCCTCATACACCTCCTCCTCCACAGCCTGTTAGTGAAACATACCAAAGTAATTATTCTTTTGTTTCTCTGGGTGTAATTCAGTCTCAGACAGACTCACATCGTGCAGCCTTCTCTCTCTCTCTCTTTGCAGCCATCTTGTATAAACTCTGTGTTGTGCTCCATTTAAAGCCTCTTTAATTCAGCCTTTCTGCATGATGGATTCAGCAGCATATTCATGGCCTCGGCGTCTCACTCAGCGATGGTAATGAAGGTCAGCTACTATGGATTCAAGGAAAAATGGTTCATCATGCCTCCTTGTTTTACATAAAAGTGCATGTGTGCATTTTTTGCCTGCGGAGGACTGAATATTCTTCAGTGCAGAAATGAGCAGGAGCTCCAGTCAAAGTGCAGCATTAACAGTTTGATGTTGAGGAAGGAGGCCACGACGAGCCGCTCCTCTCTGAATCCTTAATTACCAACCTTCATCACCGTCACAATGGATTCACGGAGTGCGCTCATGACTGGTATATACAGAGTGTTCGGACGGTTAAAACTGAACATTAACATCTGAGAACAGAGGGCGACATGAGGATAAATAAGACTAATAATAAGACTGCTGCATTGTTGCCGTTACACATGTTTAATTGTAATGATTTAGAGACTTAATCTAGAATACAGAACTGTTTCAGACTCCAACAATCAGTGTAAAACCTATAAAATGCTGCAAGCAGTTGCTGGTTCAGTGTCTTCCTCAAGAGCACCTTGGCAGTGCCCTGGCACCTCTCCAGCTACCAGTCAACGCTCCATACTTGGTCCATACAGGGACTTGCACCGACGACCCTCCAGTTCCCAACCCAGTTGTAAATTTGTGTACCCACCATCTGCATTTCTTCTCCTACCACCACTCACTGTTGACCTCTTTCAATCAACACCACCATCTTTCACTAACCTCAACCAGCTTTAACTAACTCAACAAATAAACATGCACAAAATATTCCACCTTTTGCCCTTTTTCTTCAAAGGAAAATATTCCTGCTTCGCTGTTTACACAACTAATGAAAATGAATATTCCACTAATATTCCTGTTGACATGCGGCTGTGCAGACATTTACATTTACAGTCGCTCCGATGTAAAGAACAGAGAATTTTAAGAAGCAAGAATAAGAGTATGAAACAGAAGTATGTAAATATAAAGTAACAAAATAAAATAGAGATAAAAGTGTGCATTCATCTCTACCTCAGCCTCATAAACTGAGGGTGAGTTGGTTTCTGTACGCAGCACAGAGCTGATCGTAAACAGACAAGAGGTCATGTGTTGGAAGCTGCGATACAACCCCACTTGAGGCGCACATTCTGAACGTGTTGTATACATGCCCAAAGAATGCCATTAAAACTTGAATAATTTTAGCTTATCCCACAGGGTGGCTGTGGCTCAGAGGTGGAGCAGGTTGTTAACTAATCGGAAGATGGACGGTTTGATCCCCAGCTCCTCCAGACCACATGTCGAAGTGTTGTTGGGCAAGATACTGAACCACAAATTGCATTGGATAGCTGTTCCGTCAGTGTGTGAGAGCTTGTGAATGGTTACTGAGTAGCAGGTGGCACCTTGTATGCTAGCCTCGGTCGCCAGTGTGTGAATGTGACGTAGTGTAAAGTGCTTTGAGTGGTCAGCAGACGAGAAAGGCGCTGTACACGTGCAGTCCATTAACGTCTTAACGTCTTAATCGGAGAATACTTCATTTAGAAAGAGGCCCAATTCAGATTGTCCAAATACAATAATATGCTGTTAACATGAACTGCATCGAATTCAGGATATTGTCATGTTCATAATAACGGTGGAATATTACTGTGCATTTAATTAAAGTCACTCTTATAGGGTGAACTGGAAGGCAAACGACTTGATTTGATTCGGTTTCATTTGGAGGTGTTTAGTTTTATCTCCTTACTGCCAGCTTGAGGTCTTCATGGGTCGACTGCTTGGTAACCTAGACCTGATCCAGGACCAGAGTCTGGCTCCGCTCTTTAGTTAGATTCAGTCATGTTAGATTCAACCTCCTCTGGTTTTAGATCCGACCTACTATGGTTCCTCTAAGACCGGGTTTGGTTGATTTCTGGTGGATGTTGCAGGGTCCTGTTTCAGATCGGCTCCTCAGAAACCACTCAACCAAACTTCAATATTCATCCTCTTGGCTCTTGGGTCTTTTTGTCACACGGCTTCATCCTCCATCAAAAGTCTTTAATCAGTGATTCTCACTCTGTGAATGCCGGCAGTCTGCAGGTTTCCAGCTGTAGTTGGGGGAGTTTGTCTGGTTGTTGAGGCCTGCTGTCTCTCTGAGGTTCAGGTTTGACCAGAAAATAGGACAGCTAGGAACACTAAGGCGTTCGGTCAGGTAGATGGCGGACATTTTGTCCTCTGCGTGGCGCAGATGTGGAACAACAGGGACGTCTTGCATGGGGCAGAAGATGGCGGCCAGGCGGAGGCTGAGGCTGAGGTGGAGGTTGTTCTGGATGTTGGTTGGTCTTTAAATTCCTCCCCTCTGATCTGCTCCACTTTCCCATGGTGCAACCTGCTGAGGTGGCACTTCTATTTCCAGCAAACAAACACACACACACACACAAAGGGCAGACAAACACAGGGCTCGTGCAGAGCGTGTGTGAGTGTGTGTGTGCGCTGGAGGTGACAGACAGGCAGGAGAGGGATGGAGACGATTTGATCCGCTTCATTTCTCTCTTCATGTGTATATATAGATGTGATTTATTTCCTAATGCTCACACAGCAAACAGAGCAGAGGAAGCTGGAAGCAGGAAGCAGTTATTAATAACACAAACTGCCACACCACGTTTCCTAACACACACATATTTAGCTGGGAGACCGCTGCAGGGTCTCAGGTAGGGACCAATCTGAATATTTGGCAAATGGAAATGTTTGACTGTGTTCGGTATTATTTGTTTTGGGAATCCTGCGAGAGGCGGGAGGAAACAAAAACTGGCGGTACAACAGTGAAAAGCTCGTCTGTCATCTTTAAAATAAACAGCTCGGGAAACATCACATATTCTTTACATCAGCGCCCAACGTTTTCCAAAGCAAACTGGAGCGTGCTGCGTTCCCACTGATATAACAGGTGTTTCAATACATTTTAAATGACTTGTTTTCAGCTTGTGACAAAACATGGAAAAATAGTCGTTTGTCATGTCGTCCATATTTAAAATAAACTTTCATCTTGCTGCCAAATTTCGTCCAGATTGATCTGCATGTTCTGCTCTGAAATCTAAAACACACACCGTGGACACTCTTTCACATCCAGGAGATGCACAGTGAGCAGACACGGATGTAGAGAAACAGAAAATGGTAGCAGTGACAGTGTGGTGGGTTAAAACACCTGCTCACATTACGTAATACTCTGGAATGGATACAGGAAGTGCGAGTACTCAGATCTACTCAGTTATTACTGTGCATCTGAATGTGTTTACCTGGACAGGAGCCTGTCGCCTGAAGCACCAGGGATCTGCGCTTTTGATGCCTTGACAGCACTTTGTGCAGTTTAAAGGACAGCTCCGCTGTGGTTTGAGTTTTGTACATTTTCCACCGCGCTGACATTAAGTCTGGCAGGGTTTTACCTGCGTTCTGCACAATTACAGATATTTTTAAATCCACTCAGCCGAAGCTCTCGGACTGTTTTAAATGCACACAGCAGAGGAATTGACTGGTGATGCTTCATCATGCAGCAGTTTGGAGTGTAACAGGGGGGCAGCCTGTGAGGATTAGAGTGCAGGCTGTTAACCAGGTGGTTGCTGGTTTGAATCCCTGAACCATAAACACTTTTTCTGAAGTGGCAGCGAATCTTTCAGCTGCTGTAAAAAAAAAAAAGAAAAGCTGCTTAGAAATATGGCAGATAAAAGCATTAAAAAGAGTGTTCCTGTGTGATGAGCAGCTGATCTGCTGGTTTGACTGGTTCAGGGTCCTGACAGCGCCCAGTTGCCATGGTGATGGAGTATCTGCCGAGCCAGGGATGCTGCTCTTTATCAGCCCGGGCCGGTCAGCTGTGTGTGCGTGTGTGATTGAAATGTTTGACCGTGCATTGTGTGCCTTTGAATTAGGACACTGTTTGTTTGGCAGCATCGTGTGTATTTGCGCATTGTGTGTGTGTGTGTGTGTGTGTGTGTGTGTGTGTGTGTGTGTCCCTGTAGCGCTATAGGGAGGCTAATTGTATTCTAATTACAAAAGCATCAAACACACGAGTCAGACAGCTACCTTACACCCCCAGAAACACAGTAAATGGAGCAGTAAAGTGTGTGTTCAGCCTGCTGCTTTTATTAAAACAATGTGCTTCATGACAGAAACACTCTGCGGGAGAGCAACCAAACACATGTCCAAATTTAATGTAATGAAATCTCATTTAAATTTAGAGTCATGTGAGAGGAGATGTCATGAAAGATAAAGGCTTCAGTTCCAGAAAAAAAATCAAACTCACATTAGATTAAAGCTCCATCAGCTAAAAACAGGCCCTCACATGTTTACACTGCCTGTTCAGGGTGGGGATATGGCGCCGTTGTTCTGCCTCACCGTCCTGTATATAAAGTACGATCATGGCCCACAGAAAGTTGTAACAGCGCTGAAATGATGTCTGTATGGAAAGGACAATCGGCAGGATGGGATCATGGGCGGCACAGCTCTGATGTTTTGATGATGTGTTATGTGTGCGACCCACTGCGAGAGATTTAAAATAGCAGCTGTTAGCAGTTAGCAGCTAACACAAAATAGACGAACAGCAGCTGGAAATGTCCACAAATAGTTAAAACAAACAGTACGTTTTCATGACATCAGAGAAAATAGATTTATTGTGTCAGTCCGACTAAAACTGGACTTTGAAAATCAATGTAAACATGTTTGTGTGTGGATGTGTCTAAATAAAATCGCACTAACGTGAATTTGTCACAGTGGGACTAACACACCCTGATAAAGTGACTCCTACAGTCAGTCAGACCCAAACTGGCTGAGGCGTTCTGAGCATGCTCCACAGTTTCCACCCCAGGCAAAAGACAAGCCCATGAAAGTTTTTGAGCACCTGAAAAATGTGATTCATTTAAGAGAATAATAATAATTCCTTTAGTTTCAATAGTGACCTCACAGTGGTTGTAATACATAATATAAGTGATCTTAAAATATTTGTGTATTTTAAATATTCTTTAATCATATTTTTGGGCATTTTATAACTAGAGAATGAGGGGAAAGAGGTGGGAAATGATTTGTAAGAAAGCTCAATGTGAGACGTAGCAGTTCATGATTAGTGCCTTAAACTCTTAAAATTAGGGATAACAGTGATCAACTGTTATTGTTGGTTAAGTCATTAATCAATTGACCACCGAGAACATTTTTGTTCGGTTACACATCTGTCTGTAGATTAATTTTGCTATTCTTCAGTTTACTGCATAGTAAATACCAGCCACATCTGGTGGGAGCAAACGTTAGCTAGCATAGCCGTTCATTGGTGGATTACCGTTAGTAACGCTGTCCCAACCCAACAACGTTGCTTTTGAAACACTGTGCTCACCCTACAGTATTCCCACAGGTCACCCTGGTGAGGAGGCGGCTCAGTTTTGAGCCACAGAAACCTCTTTAGCATTGTTAGCTATGTCTCCACGATTAGCTTTGTTAGCTCTGTTAGCAATGTCAACACAGCTAGTGGTGCTAACATAGTCAACAATGCTTAAAGGGTTTTGCGACTCAAAAGAAGCTGCTTGCTTAGGTGACCTCAGGGGAGACCAGAGGGTGTCCACCATGTTTCCGCAACATGTCCAGTCCCTGTCATGGTGTTACCAGTCGAAATTGGCTAGCTAGCTTCCACCTGACCCGGGTGGTGCGCAGAGCAGAGCGGCTAGTGACAGGTTAAGACAAGGGTGGGCAGTGGGGACTATGTTTCCTCATGTTAATGCAGCAAGTTGGCTGTGTGTTAGCACAGCAAACAGAAATAAAATAGGAGGGAAAACATTTACAACACAAAGCATCTAAATGTCACCAACTCTGAATGGATAACGCTAACGTGGTGCTAACATGGTGCTAACTTGGCGCTAAAGCACACTGAGTCAAGGGAGCGCCGAACTCAAAGGAAAGGCCTCTTGTATTTCAGGTCATTTTGTGTTTTATATATTTATTTTTTCGCAAAAATTAACTGGTTAGTAGCCAGTTAATGCCTGTTGCCCTATCAAAATCAAAAGAAACCCAAACTGATATCCATTATATTATATTTTATGTTTAAAATATTTAATGTGCTCTGATGTATTCAATTTAATGGTTCTTTGTATGTTTGTGTTCATTTGTATCTTATGTAAAGCTACATAACTCCACAGAAGGAGTCTAAATGAGTTTTTATTTTATTTGAAAATATGCAGGTTTTCATGCATCCTTATACCTGATGTTTTTACATTTCATCTGGTGTTTTGTCAGTTTTGAAGAAGCTTAATTTGATTTTTTAAGGCTGAAATGACAAACTTGATCCTCACTGGCCGGTGTGAAAATTGGTCAGCTCTTACTTACTGAATCTGATCACGTCTCGTCATTACAACATTAGCCGGCCTCGACTCACTGATGGTGAACAGTAGTGGGAAACATTTTTTATCACGTCAGATGTTCTTTTTAAGTCACCAATTAATTTCCCTGCTCTGATTTGAGTGTGTGACGCAGTGCTGGGTGTTGGTCAGAGATTGATGTCAGTGTCTTCATCTGACTGGTTTTTATATAAAATATGACAGAAGATTAGATGTAAAATGAAATAAGATGACATGAAAGCAGTGACGAGATGAAATGAGATCTGTGGTGATGATCTGAGAGTTGACTGATTCTCGCGGTTTGAGGGGCAAAATTAAAGTGAGAAATCAAATCAGCGAGTTTGGGAACTTTGAGTGTGAAGTGATGAAAGTTTTGAGAAGTGTTTGTTGGAGTCGCTGTGTCTAAATGACTTCTTTAAAGTTATTTTTACAGTCTGGCTCCTGCTTGATGTCTTTAATCATTTAAACTGCTTCATCTGCATCAGACTCACTGATTCTCAATAAAACCAGCTCGTATGTTAAATTTAACTTAAAGTGTCATTATGAGTTTGAGAAACTAATCCTGCCCGCTCCTCTCTCTGTCTGCCAATCACAGCTCCCCCACCGCCGAGTGACCTTCTCCACGGCCAATCAGGCACAGGACCTGCAGGACGCGTCCCAGCACAGCTACTATGACAGCGGCCTGGAGGAGTCGGAGACGCCCAGCTCAAAGTCGTCGTCAGGGCCGCGGATCGGGCCCCTGGCGCTGCCTGAGGACCATTACGAGCGGACCACACCTGACGGCAGCATCGGCGAGATGGAGCACCCGGAGACTGGTAAGACCAGGTGGAGTTTCCCCTCCCTCTACTCCTCTTTTCACCTCCTCATCCATCCATCCATCAGCCTCGAGGGGAGCATACACACTGCACAAAAAACGATGAACACTGCTGGCTTTCACACACTGTTTTCATAACACACACACACACACACACACACACGTCAGAATGCACCGTGTCAGCAGGAATATTAACGTTGTATTTTTAATCAGACTCCCACAATTCCCTGCGCTGTGCATACCTTCGTTAAAGAGGTGTGTGACCTCACAGCAGCACAACACAATCAATATGCAACATAATCAACTCCCACGGCTTAACAAATTAACATCCCAATTATGTAAATCATACTGAGTCCAACCTTCCATCAGCTCCACTTATAGATCCACAGAGGGAGGCTAGCAGGGAGTACGCTAACACAATACACTCCCCTCTGTTTTCACCAGTTAGCATTTTGTCAGCCTGTCATCGTCACGTTAGCATGTTGATTTTTATATGTCTTTTCCTGTTCATCAGTTATAGCACCTTTCACAACACGTGTAATGCTCTCAGGTGAATGGTAGCCAGTTGGCTGCGGCCTTTTTAACAGAGATGCTAATGATGCTACATAAAGATTCACCTGGCTGTCCAAACAAAACACACACCAAAGTGTTTTTTGTTTTTCTTCGTTTTGCTTTGAACACCATAGCATATTGCTAACATGACTCAACATGTTGGCTCTTACTTTTCCTCCTGCTTTGATATAAAAACACTAAAAGTGAGTTTTGACATATTTGCTAACATTCAGTATGTTCACAAGAGGTTTAGATGATGCTAATGATGCTACATGACACAGATTTACTATTCTTTCAACACAACACATGCTTTTTGCTTTACATTTGAGTTTGTGGCCAGTTTAGCATGAAACAAACTAGCCAAACTAGCATGTAGCCTATTATTTTGCAGTTAGCATTAGTAATACTGAAATCTTGGAAATGCAACTGTGTTCTTTTCATTTAATGCTGACGTCTAACTACCAGTTTTGATGTAATTTAATAGTTGAATAAATGGAAGCCAGGGTAACAGACTTATTGTGCTATTATTACTTTGAGGTTAGCTTGTTGACTTTTACGTTTCTGCCTGTTACAATGTGAAAACATATCAGTAAAGAATTATAAAGTGGAATAAGAAGGTCATTAGTAGCAGTTTTAAAAGTCACCAGGATGTCAAAACACAACACACATAAACATGTTTTGTGATTTACTTTTGATTCATTTGAAGCCGGTTAGCATGGAACAAAATAGCTGCAGTAAAATGTTCAGTAAACTCTCGTTAGCATGAATTATCACGAAACTGCATTGTTTTCATACTACTGATTTTGAAGCACACTTATTAGCTGTAAGTAAGACACTGTGCTATTATTACTTTGACGTTAGCTTGTTGACTTTTATGTTTCTGCCTTTTTTAATGTGAAAACGGATCGGTAAAGAATTGTAAATTGGAACAACGCAGACAGGTCATTAGTGGCAGTTTTAAAAGTCACCATGATGTCTAAACACAACACACATAAACATGTTTTGTGATTTAGTTTTGATTCATTTAAAGCTAGTTTAGCATGGAACAAACTAGCTGCAGTAAAACGTGCAAATCTTGTTAGCATGTATTATTACGTTGTTTTGGTAATACCAACTTTGAAGCTGACTTAACTTCACAGTTGAAAAACTGAAAGGCAGGAAAACAGACTTATTAGCTCAAAGTTATACATTAGCGCTAGCTTATTTTTAGCATGTGGACCTTTATGTTTCTGCCTGTTTTAATGTCGAAACTGAGAAGTTAAAAAAAAAAAGTGATGTTGCTAAACAGAGACAGAATTTGGGTCATCATTAGCAGTTAGCTGTCGCCTTAGATGAGAAACTGAACGATGCACAAATTTACATTTGTTGTATTTTAGGAAACATAGCATGGAACAAGCTAACTGGTGTTTGATGTACACATCTTGTTAGTGTATCATCTTGTTGTTAGCACACTGACTATATCTCTGAACTCCAGGAAGTGATTGTTGTAATAGTACACTGAATTTTATTCAGTAGTGTTGTTGTAGTTTACTGCTAGATGCTCTTGAAACGTACAAACTTTTACTTATTGTCTTATCGTAACCCAGACAATCAGGGAACCAAATAGCCTTTATATGTTAGCCTATTGTTAACTTGACGCTAGCATGTTGACTTTAGTTTTTCTTTCTGCTCTGAAGCAGAAAAACTAAACTAAGCAGTGAGCCTAAAATTATGACCAAGTTATGTAACTAACAGTTGTAAACATACAGGGTGGTTCATTGTTGTTAGCTGTTAGCAGATGGATACTAATGAGTCACTTTGCTTTCTGAACCCACTGAATCATTTCTACTTCAATGAAGACACATTTTAGTGTGGTTGGCATTAAATGAAATAATAAGAGCTAAATATATTCTGTCACCGTGTTGTGATCTTGTCTTAATATCTGCATATCGAGTTATCTGTGTTTCATTGTAACACTGTATTTTCTACACCTGAGATGTTTTTAAACAGAAGGTACTGTAAGCTAGTTAGTTAACACATTACATTTAACCACTGCAACACATTTAAAAAGCCTCGTTTGAGTCTTTAAAGTCTTTAAAGAAACACAAACCAGCACTCAAACCGCTATAGCCAAAAGTCCATAAATAGTCCTCATGTCACTAAACAAACAAAAATACAAATTAAGACACCTTAGAGCTTGGATGACACACACTTTTAGTTGAGAAATTATTTCAGAAAATGCCCTCACATTTTAACTTGTTTTAAAATGTTTGCAGTAACATTTCATATTTTTTCAAAACATACTGTCGGCCACTAGTTCCCATCCTCGGGGTCCCCACCCCCACTATGGGTCATCACGGTTTCAAGAGCAGGGTCGTGAGGCCTTCTTGATTTTAAGGGATGTCAGAAAATGTAAGCGTATTAATTACATGCTCTCTATTAATCGCATACATCAGTTTTTGCTGTGAAAGTTAAAACTTTTAATTTCGAATGAATTTTGTCAGATGTGTCGTAGTAAAGCTGCTGGATTTTGGACACAGTTGTTCCCCTGTCTTTTACCACCCAAACTGGTCTGCAGTCCATTCTTACAGGGAGTTAGTTAGCCAGCTCCACGTTAGCAGACTTATTCAGTCTGAACACCTGGTCAAGTGTGGCTCGACGAGGCTGACTGCTAGCGTTAGCATCAGAGGCTGTGCTAGCTCGGACCTCCAGGTTTGCTGCTAAATGATTCGTGTTGAGGTGATATTTCAGGCTTTAAGTTCTCCGATGGTACAAAGAGAAGAGTGCTCCTATCAACAGCTCCATCTGGATGTTTTTTAAATGTACATGTTCCATTCACGTGGCAGAGCAGTGTCGACTCATCTGCCTCCATCATGTGACAAAGACACTAGCCATGTTTCCATCAGCCTGTTTAGATGCACATCGGATTGCATTGGAAAATTATGATGGAAACGGCAAAATTCGAATTAAAATCCCCTGATTCGCACAAACTAAAATACGCCCGCTTTAGCCGGGTTTTGGTTGATTCGAAAAAATGTTGATTTGCAAAACGGGGAATGGAAACAGTTATGTTCGAATTAAGTCTGATGTAGCGCACCTCTCTCCATGGTGATATCCACACTCTGGGTCGGGAAGGCGTTAATGCATTTACAAGCTGGTTGCCAACCGCCAGAAAATGTAGAAGAAGAAGAATGCGAGACTTGTTTTGTTTCCGGTTCTGCGGAAAACTCACATGAGTTTGTAGTTTTCACCAAAGTCTGTACATTTAATGGAAACACACAGGATTCGTATTTCTTTTAATGCGTATTTCCCAATGATTCCAATCACTTTTTGATGGAAACATAGCTAGTGACGCACTGGGTCAAAGGGCACCACAGAACATGATTAATCAGCTTTAATTTTTCTTCACACATTATTTTTACTGTGAATAAGAAATTAAGCCGTTATTTTGACAGCCCTAATATCTACCATAGTAGTATCTCAACACTACATTAATTTCTAAGAATAAAACTAAATGAAATTGTCGTTTTTATAGTTTAGGTTATTATTTAAGATATAAATCCAAATAAGGGCTCGGTGAAGAGTCTTTCCTCTCTGCCAAGCAGCCTTGTCCTGCTTCAGAAAAGTCGGGGAGATGAAAATTTGTCAAAACAGAAGCCTATTATGTATGTATGATTGTTAAAAATTAAAAAAAAAAAGAATAATACAGGCAGGTCATAACCATACAAAGCTCCTATAAATATCAGGAAAACTTATTTCTGATGTAATATTCACAGGAAATCTGCTTTATTTGAAACAAACTTCTTTCAGTTATCGCGTTCACTATTCGGGCTCGTTGTACAGTTTATCAGTTGTTCTGTGCTGTTACTGTTGTGCATTGAATATAATATGAAATATGTCACGTAATCAGGGTTTGTCATTGTACTCAATAACAGAAAAGGTTGTGAACCACTGCTGTAGTCTGTGTTGTTGTATAGCTGCTTAAACTGAGCATCTGACAGCAGAGGCCGACTCTGTTTCTGTTGCAGCTCACAGACTCGCAGCTCCTCCGCACCCTGCTTTACACATACAATGAAGAAATGAGATCATGATATACAGTACCTGTTGACTTTTAGTGTTTTATTTTTAAAGCTCAGTTTCCCCGCAGCATAAATAAAGTACTTTCATTTACCTGCTTTCAGGAGCCAAATGATTCATTAGACACGCATCTAAAAACACTCCACCGTCTTTTTTTTTTTTACTTCTGCCACTGTTCATTGTTCTGCTTTAGTTGTTAACGCCTCGTTACCACTTATGCCAATTAAGCTAAACTGAAGTGAAATAGTCGAAACTGGCAAAAGAAAAACCCCCAAAAAAACAGAAAGTGCAGAGAGAGGTGGTGTGTAAATGTCAGCCATGTCTTCTTTTGTAAGGACCGACTCTCTCTCAGCCCACAGGTCGTACGTATGCCATCTGTAAACACAATTATTC